GGGGGGGGGGATTCGGCGCCCCGGGCCAAACACAGTGGGATCATGCACGGCCGCCGCTTGGGTTGTGCCAGTGAAGGGCCAGCGAGGGTGGCGCTCGGCCAAAGGGGTCGCGTGTGAGAGCGTACTTGAGGAGACGTCTCAGACGGTCTAGTCGCTTCGCTGCCCTGCAGACGGGACTCTGAACTCGGGCCTTAGATGGAACATTCGTGTGTCTCGAGCAGGCCTAACTGTCAAAAAAGTGGACGCAATTATCCCATCATGCCCTCTAGGGCAATTTCAACATAGATGTGCGCTAGCTGTGTTGAATCTTGAATCTGTGTTTATTTCACAGCTTGGATTGGATCTCATGATGTTGTGCGGGGGACACCTCATGTTGTGGTGTTTTTGTTTTGCGTAGCCAGAGCACCTAATGTGTATCGATTAGCCTCCTCGTGCATCATTTCACTTGTCAATTCCCATTTTTACACCGAGCCTCGTCTTGACCTCAGCCGAGCGCATCGTCTGATCGCGATGATGAGGAAAGTCGACCAAAATGACATGCGCGCTGCTTTTTGAAAGAATGGAAGCGCCTCTAGCTCACGATCAAAGTGCAGTCGTCTTGAGATTTGTTGACAGGAAACACAATTTGCCCGTAAGCGCACCAAATTGGCGTTAGTGTCAGCTTGGATATGTTTATTGCGGCTTAGGCCACTGAGGTTTATTCGATTAGAAACGAGTATTGAGTTTCGGAGCTACAAATGTGATGATGATGACATGTGACATCATGGTGGCTTGGCATCACACCGCGATCATTTGTCTCTTTTCTCTTTTTGAACGGCGTTGTCACCTGCAGACATTTATTGATTGTCGGCAATGATTTCCGCAACAAATAGTTGTTTTACCGAATCGGAATGGAAGATGTCCGTCTTGCGTCAGCACTAATGATGCCGCATCCGGAGCCCAGTTTTACGGATATGACATCCGTCCCTCAGTAGCGACCCCCACCCCACCCCTACCACCTGCCCTCCCCCTCCCCCCTCGAAATCCACTCACTCTTCAACACTGTGTGGGTTTGTTTTGAGTAAATCCTCCCATTTTCAACCTTCACATTCAGAACCGACTGCTGTCATCTGGGCCTCCTGTCAGCCTTAGAACCTGCAGCGCATTATTTGACAAGGTAACTCCTCCATATTACTATTGTACATCTCTGCATTGGCTTTGAAGGTCCAATCATTTGATCTCAATTATGCCCTCCGGCGAGGACGAAACGAAATTTCCCCGTTCGAGGCATCATCACTCGCCGTCGTGACGTGTGCGGTTAAGGTTGTCTTGACGGTGTCGGCGGGGAGGGTGGGTGTCGATGAGTAAGAGCAACTCTTGTTAGTGGTGGCAAGGCAGGGGAGGGTTGCGATGACTTTCAAAGCGCATGTCCCGCACCTCATCTTCTTTCCAACTTGATGATTGAGAAGTCGCCCTTGTAACTTCATCACCATTGACATCATGACACCGCATGGCCTTTTTTTTTGATTTGTTATGTTTTTCCTCATGACGAAAAAAAAAACACACACACACACATTCCGCCGCTTCCAAACATCCAAACTCGAATTTGTGCACCGCACGGTTGAGCCAATCCTTCTCGTAGCAGGTCACAGGCCTGATTGTCGGCAATGATTTCCGCAACAAATAGTTGTTTTACCGAATCGGAATGGAAGATGTCCGTCTTGCGTCAGCACTAATGATGCCGCATCCGGAGCCCAGTTTTACGGATATGACATCCGTCCCTCAGTAGCGACCCCCACCCCACCCCTACCACCTGCCCTCCCCCTCCCCCCTCGAAATCCACTCACTCTTCAACACTGTGTGGGTTTGTTTTGAGTAAATCCTCCCATTTTCAACCTTCACATTCAGAACCGACTGCTGTCATCTGGGCCTCCTGTCAGCCTTAGAACCTGCAGCGCATTATTTGACAAGGTAACTCCTCCATATTACTATTGTACATATCTGCATTGGCTTTGAAGGTCCAATCATTTGATCTCAATTATGCCCTCCGGCGAGGACGAAACGAAATTTCCCCGTTCGAGGCATCATCACTCGCCGTCGTGACGTGTGCGGTTAAGGTTGTCTTGACGGTGTCGGCGGGGAGGGTGGGTGTCGATGAGTAAGAGCAACTCTTGTTAGTGGTGGCAAGGCAGGGGAGGGTTGCGATGACTTTCAAAGCGCATGTCCCGCACCTCATCTTCTTTCCAACTTGATGATTGAGAAGTCGCCCTTGTAACTTCATCACCATTGACATCATGACACCGCATGGCCTTTTTTTTTGATTTGTTATGTTTTTCCTCATGACGAAAAAAAAAACACACACACACACACATTCCGCCGCTTCCAAACATCCAAACTCGAATTTGTGCACCGCACGGTTGAGCCAATCCTTCTCGTAGCAGGTCACAGGCCTAGCGGGCTTGAACGAAGGACTTGGTCTTTCCTTCTTGTTTAACCACCAGAACGAAGCTGCACTGCGTCATTTATGCATGACGAGACTGGAAAAGGATGTTTCCGTAAGAGGAAAAGGCTAACTGACTTTTGAAATGGGAGGGGGTGGAGAGGGTGGACAAAATACTCAGGGTTAGGCATAATAAATATGTCTGAAGCATAATAGCGTCGACTTTTACACCTGGTGAAAAGGTATCGTGCATCTCAAGGTTGTCTGCAGCTCATGTACGCATTGCACTTTCGAGCAACGTTGCCGCATGTTTGCTCCACTTAGCAGAGCCGAATACGTCAGCGTGTGGGTCCCTTCTAGAAAGTGCATTCTCATCCGTGTTTCTTGGCACACAGAACCGAAACCCCTTTCGCTCTGACAAAAAGTGCACCTCTTTCCTTTAGCTGTCACTCGACTACTAACACCTTCCTGTCCTTTAGCGCAATTTCTTCCCGACAATTGTGCTGCCTCATTTGCCGACATCATGCTCATTTCCAGGATTTAAAAATTTTTATTTTATTTATTTTTTTTTTTTTTAGGTTTATAAGATGAATTCCAACAAACGTAGCGCATCTCCCGGTTTGGGTTGCACCGGCTCAGAACTATTTGTGGTGTTATACGTGATTTTTTTTCTATCCAGCAGGGTGCCAAAACATCAACGTCAGAACCCCCCATCGCCCCACCTGTGTCGGAAGAGGAGGACGAGGAGGAGGAGGAGGAGGAAGAGGAGGAAGAGGAGGAGGAGGACGACGACGATGAACTGCCCCCCGTCATCGCGCCTCGACCCGAGCACACTAAATCTGTGCGTCTAATTTCTTTATTTATTTTTTTTTACGATTTATTGCATTCAAAACATGCAAAGTCAAACCTTGCCCCATCTCTTGAAATCTTTTCGCGCGCTCTCTCAGATCTATACGCGCTCCGTCATGGACCCGCCCAAACCTCCCACTCCCATCAAAGAGGTTGTGACGCCACCCGAGTCGCAGGTCCAGCCCGACAACACATCCAGCACAATGTACCGCCACACTGACCGCCAGAGGAAGAAGTCCAAAATGACCGATGAGGAGATTCTAGAAAGACTCAGTATGTGTCTTGATACGCTTCTTCTTATTGTCTGCCTCTATAACTTCACTTTTTTTGTGCATCTCAGGTTTTTTTTTTTCTTTTATATATCACAGCATTAAACAAACAACACCGTACCGGCGTTTTACTCAGATGAAGAGAGCCCTTTTTAATTTTTTTTTCATTTTAGCGAGCTGCCTTCGTGAGAGGAGGCCACTGCTGGACGATAAACGCTAATAATAGACAGAAAAGTCAAGACAGCGCAATGTTGCGTGTATACATTTACGTACCCCCCTACACACACACATGCGTGCATATACACACACGACACGCACAATCATTATGCCCGTGTTTTGTCTTTGACTCAGGGAGTATCGTGAGTGTGGGGGATCCCAAAAAGAAGTACACGCGCTTTGAGAAAATAGGACAAGGGTAAGTAATGCACGTAAGCGGAAACCTTGGAGCCTTTGAAAGTTCAACTGTAAGAGCTTAAACAAATAAACTTGAACTATGATGCCAATAGTAGGCAACTTTTGGATATAGCGATATACATATTTAACATTAATAAATGTTTATTGATCTACTTTCTTTGTCTCCAGAGCATCTGGCACTGTGTATACAGCCATCGACATAGCAACCGGCCAAGAGGTAAAGTGACAATTGTGGCCCGAATCTTTTGAATGTCATAAGGTAATTCTTTTGAACCAATAATGTGGGTTTTTTTTGTTGGGGTTTTTTTCCCCTCTTCCTCCTCTGACAGGTGGCCATCAAGCAGATGAACCTGCAGCAGCAACCCAAGAAGGAGTTGATCATCAATGAAATTTTGGTGATGAGGGAAAACAAAAACTCAAATATCGTCAACTATCTGGACAGGTCAGGATTCGTTTTAGTCTTGTTTTGTTTTAGAATTAAAAGTAATGGACTCACCGTCTTGATGACATCATCAAGCACACCAGATACATTCCTGGTTATATTCTGCTGATGTGTTTTTTTTTTGTATTCTTTTTTTTTTTTTTTTTTTTTTTTTTTTTTTTTTTTTTTTTTTTCAGTTACTTGGTAGGAGACGAGCTCTGGGTAGTGATGGAGTATTTGGCCGGCGGCTCGTTGACGGACGTCGTGACGGAGACCTGCATGGACGAGGGCCAAATTGCAGCGGTTTGTAGAGAGGTAAGAGACACGCCTACTTTTTCTGTGGGCCGTGGGCGGATTAGATTGACGTGGTCGAATGAAGAGATTGGCCTGTCGGGAAGGAATAAATACAATTTCAAGGAACAAAAATGAGATCGTTATTTAATGAATATTTGTTTTCTCTCCAGTGTCTCCAAGCGTTGGATTTCCTACACTCCAACCAGGTGATCCACAGAGACATCAAAAGTGACAACATCCTTTTGGGAATGGATGGATCTGTTAAACTCAGTAGGTTCTTGACTCCAGCCTGACATTTGCCAAAGAAAGTCGATTTAACGCAATCGCTGATGGGAATTTCCTTTTGCCCCTCGCTACAGCCGACTTCGGCTTCTGCGCCCAGATCACTCCAGAGCAGAACAAGCGCAGCACGATGGTGGGAACGCCCTACTGGATGGCGCCGGAGGTGGTGACTCGGAAGGCTTACGGCCCAAAAGTGGACATCTGGTCTCTGGGGATCATGGCCATTGAAATGGTGGAGGGAGAACCTCCATATCTGAATGAGAATCCTCTCAGAGTAAGAATTGCGGTCATTCATCCTACTGGCAATCGGCTCCATGTTGACCCGTGTTCGTCTTTGCAGGCGTTGTACCTGATAGCTACCAACGGGACGCCCGAGCTCCAGAACCCAGAGAGACTGTCGTCCGTCTTCAGAGACTTCCTCAACCGCTGCCTGGAGATGGATGTCGACCGCAGAGGTTCTGCCAAGGAGCTGCTTCAGGTAAAAGTGGACTGAAAAAAACAAACAACAGATGGGAGGGAAGTTGACACTTTTTTTTTGTCTTAGTTTAGACAGCCTTGTCTGTAAAAGTAAGTTGATTGAACATTTCTGGGGGGAAAAAATCCATTTGACCTCACACAGGATTACATTTGACTTTCCAAGAGGTTTTTGTGAATGTAGAAGTCAAATAAAATGTGTTTCCATAATGAAAGTCTGTTCGCCTTCATGCTTGACACCCAATCGTCAGCTGCCCTCCTTTTTATATGACCTTCATGTCCTTTTATTCCCTCTGTGCAGCATTCGTTCCTCAAGTTGGCCAAGCCTCTGTCCAGCCTGACGCCTCTGATTGTAGCTGCCAAGGAAGCCATAAAAAACAGCAGCCGCTAGGGGGCGCCCTCTGTCCTCACCCGAGCCCGCAGCCCTCCCTGTCCAGGGGTGCGTTCATGTCGGTGGAGGGGCGTTTCTGATTTGCGGGCTGAGTGATGTGACAGCACAAAGTGCAGAATGGAGGGGGGATCGGGCGGAGCTCTGTGAATCCCCTTCTCAAACGCCTTCAACCCCACCCCACCCCACCTCACCCCCTCTTGCCACCAGCACCCCCCAGCCCACCCATGCGTACAGTAACGGCGGCCTTTGCAGCCTCTCGGCACCGTGCTGCTAAAAAAGACCTTTTTGTTTACGTCTTCAGTACATGTAGAGCTGTGTGTCACTAGTGTGCGTGCACATGGGTTCTGTGGGGTGGGAATGACTGCTTTCAAACCAAAAAAAAGGGGGGAGGGGACAAGACCCTCAAAGAAGAGCTTTTGGTAGAGTTTCTTCTTCCTCTTGTGTCATCAATGTGGGGAACACATCACGCCCACGCCTGCAGTGTTCAACCAGAGTCGCTCTTGGACCCAAACTGTGCTCGTATGACTGCGGGGCAGCTGTTGGGTGGTGTGTGTGTGTGTGTGTGTGTGTGTGTGTGTGTGTGTGTGTGTGTGAAGATGGAGTGTTGTGACACACGAGTCCTGCATGTGAACCAACCAACTCTACACTTGCTTGTCATCATTCGCTTAGGTTAAGATTGTTCGGATATGTGCGGTGGGTACAAAAAGTCTACACATCCCCTGTCTCAATGCCAGGTTTCTTGTGACGCAAAATGAAACTGAGATGAAATGAGATTTTAATGCCCTTTGCGCAAGTCTACACATCCCCTGTCTCAATGCCAGGTTTCTTGTGACGCAAAATGAAAATGAAATGAGATTTTAATACCCTTTCTGTTCGTGAACACAATTGACAAAAACATTTTTAAGAACAGGAGGGGAAATGGGTGGCTGCATAAGTTTGCACACCCTATTGTATACCATCATTTAAAGTGCCTCTGATTAACCCCAAATGAACCTCAGATATTTTAGCAGGGGTTTTCCGGACATTTTTGTGTGTGCGCTTTCTGGCAGACGATCTAAAGGTTTTGTGCTAACCTTGATGACTAATTGCCTCCCCCTTGACTATCACCCTCGGTCTAAGTAGTGGGAATTGTGAATTGTTCAAAATACCAGTCAGTGGTAACACAAAACCTCCGGGCTTCTGCTCGAAAGTTGAGAAAACATCAGGAAAAGCCTACGAGAACATCTTAAGATGTTTTTGGTGTTAACCACAGGTACTTTAAATGGTGGCAGTTATGCACTGACTCCCATATCACATGATTTTACATCACACAACTGCATTTATAAGAGGCTTATTAGCTCCAGTCATCTTGTTCTTGTTTGTTTATTTTTAATACCACCTGTCATTTGAACAGGGGTGTGTAGACTTTTTGTATCCACTGTATGTACAGTATGTATGTATGTATGTATGTATGTAAATATGAAAGAGGGGACCATCCCTTCCCCCATCAACTGCCCCCCCCTTTTTATTTTTTATTTTTTTTCAAAATGATGTAACTTCAAAATAAGACATTTCAGGTTGCTTTTATGGTATGTATCAATCAATGTTTTGCACTCTGCAAACAGAATAAATAGAACACACACACACACACACACACCCTCGGCAAGCGCAGGGCCTCCCGTTTTGGGCCCGATAAGATGAGACACTCTTTGACGTGGACGGTGAACTGATGATGATTGCGCCAGTTAGTTTGTGTGTGTGGGCGCGCGCTGGGTATGGCTGGCCCCCCGTGAGGACGCTTGGTTGCAAAAGGCCCCCCGGTGACGCCCGTGTACAGGCGCGAACTGTGAACACGAGAGGTGGAGACGCTTCGGATGTGCCGCCTCCCCCCCCCTGCCCCCGTTCTGTGGTTGCTCCTGTACATTCCTATCTTCTGAATGTGTCAATATGTACACGTGGTGTGAAAATTCCTCTATTAATGTGTATCAAGAGAATGGAACAAAGACAAAAAAATGTTACTTTTTAAATTATGATCATGATTACTACTCTTATTCTTGTCAAGCTTTGTAAAACTGCTGATCCGTCTGGGCGTACCTCAGCAGGCTGCTCTCCCCGTCTTGGAGAAAGGACAGAAAAGAAAAAAAAGCACGATGGGGAGTGAGGTTTTGGATACTATGAACTATTTTTAATTGTGGTTGAAGCAATAGACTTTTTGAACTTTGAATTGTGCATGGCTGTGTCTTGAGTGTAAAAAGAAAAAAAAATCGCAGTTTGGGAACTGGACTGAAATAAAAAGAAACCGAGTTGCTGTAATGCGTCATGGCTTTGGTGAGTTGCATTCAAGGTGTGGAATTTGCGTTCTGGAAGGTGATATGGTGTGTTTTTATATATTTTGCTTGCAGGTTGTACACTAAAGAAGGACACAATGTGATCCAATACAAAGAGCTGTATAAACACAAAAAAAAAAAAAACTCAGTCATGATTGACATTGTCACATATTAATCTGGTTTTAATGCATCATACTTGGACCTGTTTGAAATATTTTGCCGTTTGGAATGTAACCAAAATATTAGAAACACCTCCCGATATGATACAAAACATGTTAAGTGAATAAAAAAGAAAAAAAAAATCATTGAATGTATATTAAGATGAGTGGAAAGAGTTGTATAGTACAAAATGTATAAGTTACTCATAAGATACAGAGACGGTTACAAAACCGACATTCACGCGATCCAACATTGCCTTGCTTTACAAAAATGCAAATCATAGGAAGTGATGACCTTAATGACCTTAATGTCATTGTTTTCACAGTTGCGCACGGAGCCTTAAATGGCGGTGAGTTGAGTGGAAGTGACTATTCTCAGAGTGACGCTGCCGGGCATCTCGTCGGCCATGTTGCGGCCTTGCTTCCTCAGCCGCAGCCTCTGCGGGTCGGAGGTGTCCTTCGCCAAACCAGACAGCACCACTTGGCCCATGAACTGGTCCTGCACTGCGTTGCTGTTCCAGATCTGGCATCAGGCATGCGGTTTTGCGAGATAAAATATGGGAAAATATTTAAGAAGATGCATGGAGAAGGACTCCTCGATAAGCTGTCATTTAATCATAATAGCGACGGTTTTCTTTGTGTAATTCAAACACAGCGACACCGATGCTCGTCATTAGCTCGTCTATTGTGTTTGTTTGCACGAAGCTAAGTGGACTTTCCCGAGGCAAACCGATGTGGTTTTGTGTGTAATTCTCTTGGTTGTATGTTTAGTTTGACAGACAGCACACCAACTGGGAGTGGCGTCAAACATCAAGAATTATTCGCTATTTACCGAACCGCTGCTTGCTCCAAATGACGAAGGCCTAATACTGGTCTTCACAAGAAACCAAAAGTATCGATTTACTTATGATTGGTGAAAATATCAAGTCTATAAAAACGTGACCAGCACTAGCCGATTGAATTGAGAAGGTCAACAAATGTCTTACCTGTACAGTTAGAGGCTTCCTGGGCTTCTTTCTGTAGAAAACGCCACTCATTTCAAACGCTGGAGTCAAAGTGTCCTTCTGGACCATCGATTTCACAGACTGGCCCTCACAGCTTACGATCACATATGGGTCGGCTCCTGCGTGCGAGCGCGGGATGATCAACTCACACGGCAAAACTCGGCGGCATGCAATTCTCAGGAGATTCCCTAAATTTGGGTTCAAACCCAGAGCGACTGACCCCCTGAGCTGTCCTGGTTCTGCAGCCCCTCGGCAGCATGGACGTAGACGTGGGTCACCACTTGTGGGTATCCCAAGAAAGAGCTCCAACATCTCACCCTTGGCTTATCCTCGCTCAGCTCCCTGGAAGCACACACGACTTTCTGGATGACCCGATAGTCCAAATGCAGAAAACGTACAAGCAGAAATTCGGTAGATTTGTTTGCTTCAGTGATAGTTTATGCAATCTTACGCATGCGTTAGGACAAGAGTGAGGCAGTCAATGGCAATGAAAGTCAACATCATTTACAAAAAAAAAATAATTTTTAGTTATAACACGGATGCTACCTGCAGCCCGAGTCCACGTCAGTGAAGAGTCGCATCATGTAGTCGCCCAGTGTGTGAGGCTTGAAGGTGGTGGGCAGGATGACGTAGCGGCCCTGCTGCAGCGTGCATCTCATGAAGACCGTGCGGGCGTTGATGTAGGTCGACGTCGCCACGGACTTCTGGGTCAGGATGTCGTGCAGCCTGTATTTTCTGTTCAGTTCCACCTGAGATCAACACATAGCAGAAAATGTACTTGTCCTTGACGCCCAGCAGTGTCAATGAGTCAGTTTGTGTTTTTCTGCCCCCTGGTGTCAGAGTTATGAACACACTGTAGATAGAAGTTTTGAAGTCAATAAAATTGGGTGACTATATACGCATTAATAGCGTGATAGTATTTCATATTTCTATTGTTTAATTATCTTTTGATATACGGTATATGTAAATATAGACTGTGTGTGTATGTGTGTGTGTTCGTGTAAAATGTTCAGAGGCTGTCACCCGTCGGAACCTATATTTGGATCGAGGTAAAAATGAATCTTTTTTTTTTTTTTTTGAGCGAAGATGATCATTTGTGTCATCGATCTTAAAGCTCACAATTGAAATTTTGTGTTAATCACATTTGCCGGAAAGCGGGCCGCCATTTACGATGAGCTCGAACGGAGCGATATTGTTGACGTCACAAAAACTCTCACGGAACCACAATCCCTCATTTTCCCACCGTGTTCGACTGTTATCTCGTCAAGAAGGAGAAGAATATTAACAAGATGAGAGATAGGGAAGGATAAATGAATGTTTCCAGTCGGCGATGTGCAGACAGCGGCTTCTTTAAATGACATGTTGATGGCGGTGCTGACCTCAAATGTTGTCCAGAAGCCTTCACAAGTGTCAGCAGTCAGCACGATAAGAGCGCATGATGTGTGTTTGACCATAGCCAGATGTCACGCGAATCGCATTAAAGGAAAAAAAGGTTTGGCACATGTGCGGAAAGCTTCATCCGAGAAAATATTATCCGCGCCTGAACAGAAAACCTTTGTGAGAAAGCGTGCGTTTTCAAAACTAGAAAGCGCCGTGTCAAACGGACTGCTTGTTGAGTCACCGTCTGGAGTTTTCCCCTAAGATTTCTTCAGCTTGAAACAATCAACTTCAATGATTGCATGATTTGGTGTGATTTAGCGTATTGATGAAAAAAAAAGGGCCTGATATAATTTGATAAACATAATAGATGTCATTAAAAATCCACTTGGTCAGTCTTCGGCCCGATCCAGAATGTGAACAAATGAGCCTTGGCCTGTGTCCACACATCCCAGACTGTCTACCCAAGAGACATTTGAATGAAGCGTGCCAAGAAAACAATCAGTCTGAATTTTTTTTTTTTTTTACCTTTTCTGATGGCAAAATTTTACATCCTACACTTGACATGAATCGTTTGCTTGCCTTTGTTTTCCTCAGAGAGCCCTCATGTCCTCTAGCAATGTTACACTCTGGTCGATATATTCTTTTTGGACTACTGGTACATGCATGAATTTTACCGTGCAAATGCTAATGTAAATACGCGATTCACGCACTACACTCTATTGTAATTCCAGCAGCGCTAAAAACCACTAGGCTACACTTTTATATTCCTTGATGTGTGAGTAATTTTACTTTATTTTAGATGTATTTCCTGTACAATTGTTTAACGTCACTCCTTATTTCCCGTGGGGGTTATTTTACCTTGAAGATACTGAAGCCGATGGTGAGATTTTCCCCTTGCCCGAATTTCCTGTGGATTTTCATATCTCTTTGCTGTAAGGAGATGAGGACCTCGTCGGCCTCCTTTGTCACATCAAAAACGTACTACAAAAAGATATCGGGAAAGGGGGGCAGTCGAAAAACTGTTAGAATGTTTGAAAATGCTCTTGGGATGAAGCGCAAGTATTGTGTATTGTTGCTCTGTCGTACCTGTGGGTTCTGCAGAAATGTTTGCTTGTGGTTAGCGCAGCCTCCGCAGCGGTTTAAGAGAGGCTCCGCTTGCTTGGTCCAGCTCCCAAAGTGGACAATCTCATGCCAGGTCTTATGGATGCTGATCACCGACGTGTTGATGAGGCGACACACGTCTGCATCGGTAAAGTGCTTGCACCAGTCCGTGAAAGACATCCTGCATGCGAAGGGTCCAGTTGAAAAGAATAAACGGGGGCTGGGGGAGGGGGGTCACTAACGGACGATTGTTTGCAATTTGGAACATCGATGGCATACCAGAACTCTCCGTTGTCCTCCACTGTGATGCCAAGGTTGTCCCTTTCTGTGTCACCGACCTTTGACCATTCCTCAGAGCTGACAAAATGATTAAAAGAGAGATGAGAGGTAAACTGGAGAATGTAAAATGTACTGGGAGCAAGTGAAGGGAAGCCTGAATTGGGGTTATGTGCTCCCTCTTATGAGGGCCACTTAGGAGGAGAACAGCAGTATTTTGGAGCAACTGGAGATGCTTGAGGGAGGACTGGCTGGCAACCAGTTCAGGGTGCACGCTCGGCATGGGGTCCCACCTGTCGCTCCAGGCTCCGTTCCACTCAGTCTTGCCCCACGGGTTCCTCATGCGGATCATGGGGATGGTTTCATTCTTGAAGTAGGCTATCAGCCCGTGACCCAGACGCACCCTGTTCACTGCTGTCACCGAGTAGGCGTGACCTTTCACCAGCCCGTTGGCCAACTTCAGCTCGATTTCATGAGGTTGCGCCTGATGGAAAACAAAAAAACATGCGTCAGGACCATTTCTTTTCAATGCAAGACAGTTCAAATGCCGGGACGCGCCGCGTACCTTAATGGAGCAACTGATGATTCCGCCACGGTCGTACACCTTGAGCAGATCCGCAAAGAGGTGGTCCAGCTTTTCCTGGTCTTTATAGTAAGCTTCCGCTTCCAGGTTGATGGCCTCCGCCACAGCTCCACTGAAGTCCACCACAGCGTCTCCAGTGTTGCCCCCCTCCAGTGACTCGTAGCAGCCGGAGAGCCTGGGCGCGGGATGAAAGGCACGTTTTGATTGTATTTTCATTATCAGTGGTATTTTATCAGTGGGACAACCGCCGCCTGTTGCTCGGCCAAGTCCAAAGGCACACACAAAGGAGATTAACAGTACTCGGACTCCGGTACAGTCCAGTACGAGGAGTCCTGCAGGTGTTGTTTGATGTCGACTCGCTCCGGTCCACAAGTCTAATATGCCGCATGATAAGTAGTTGACTCACTTTGCGTAGGCTTTCTCCAGCAAGGCGCTCCAATATTCGTTGTTGTCGTTGGAGTGACAGTAGATGAGCTCCCCGTTGATTGTCGGAAGCCGGTCATCCACCACCACATCCACCCACTTTCCAAACACCCAAAACTGAAAGTGGAAGATTCCGACGTAGTTCTCCGGGTGTTTGGAGTCCCACTCCTGCTCCTTCCAGTCAGGAATTACCTGCATACACAATTGTACCAGTTGGGGTAGTGCCCATGTTTTTATGTTTTCTAATATTATATGTTAACTGTTTTGTTAAGCGCTTTGTTGCAGCTGTTGCAAAAACGCTCTATTAATAAAGATGTGTTGTGTTGTGTTGTACGACAAAGCAGGGAGAGAAAAAAAAAACGGGCGAAGACACTTAAGATTCACTCGAATGAGTGAAACAGGCCTCGGGTGAATTCCTGATCTCAGGACTCACACGAACCTTCCGGCATTTAGCGCGGCTCACCCAATCCACTCGGCTCACCTTCTTCCAGAGGTTGGGCTTCAGCGCCAGACACGAGCAGGCGGCCACAAACCAGCAGTTCCCCACTGAGCCCTGGTGCAAGTCGTGCGAGCTGACCCCCTCCACAAACAGGTGAGGGTCATTGCTGATCTCCTACACCGCAACAGCATGAACGAATCACATGAAAAGATTTGACCACAAGGAGAAGCTAAGCAGCCATTTTTAGAGATCACGAGTAAGGCACCACATTTGGTAAACTTGACATGCTTCATATAAGGCAGCCAAACCATGTGATGGGACGTTTAATAACCGCTGAAGCTTTGCTTATTTTTTTTCAAATGGATTAAGCACCCAGTTTGCAGTTTTTATGATTTAATTTTTTTTTAAATAATATTTTAGAGTAGGAATGATCTTCTCTCTTTATAGACACAATTACAGCAGTCTCTTCAAACCAGATTCGCTTTGGTGCCTCTGACAGCTTCACATAAATTACCCCCCGCCCCCCTCCTTTCAGTCAAAAATGTTCTTTTCTTCCACTCAATTCACTTTGTTGCGTTGGGCACATTCTGCCTGTGGGTCAACTGATAACAGCCACTTCAGGTCCGAAAAACCGTACCCAGCGCCATGAGATACACCGGATGAGATTTACACAAAATTACTTGGTCTACATTCTCAAACAAACCGTGGAATCTTTTCCAGTAAGTCTGGATTGTTCTTTCGTGACATCCTCAAAATTTCCCAAGAGGAGAAATTGCACTCACCCCGGGACGTTTCCATTGCACCATACCAGGTGGCGGTTTCCGAAAATACAGTGACGCATCTACGCACGGGAATTCGGGATCCTCAAACAGTTTTTTACTCTTGATGCAGTCCTTCTTCAGCTCACTGTAGTGCTGGTTCTTGTAAGGGGTCGCGGAGGAGAACATGGTCCACGAATGAAAGACTCACAGCTGTACAAAAAAAGCATCATACGTACATATTATGATTTTTTTTTTCTTCTCCCTCCTCAAATAGACGTCTGCACTTCTTAATTCCCGGAAGGACATTGTGAATATGTGTCTAGCTCTGAAAATATTGAAATAAGTCACCGAAGGCTTTGTATAAACTGAAAACATACCCAAAAATGATCACGCGCCAACCTTCTCATCCGCATCTTTTTTTTTTTCCGTTTTAGGCCAACGCGCTGAAAGCCATGAAACATTCTCCACATTGGCCCAAATTGTCCTTAGAGCATCTCAAAGCGTCACATGACCAAAGGAGCAATGAACCCTGACGCGGTATACGGATGTTGGAACCTTTGACTCCACACGCCGACTCCTTCATTCTTTCTAGAAAGGCCAAACGAATTCCACTGAAGCCACCAAATCCTCCCAAGACAAATAAGTCGACTTGCATCAAAGTACAAGCCATTACATTACAATGTATCCCAAATGTTACCTCGACAAAGGTAATCTAGCTCTGTTTGGGAGGTATTCATTTGCCAAACGGTATTTATTGAACATATACAACTACACAATACCCAGACGCGTCTTTCCAATCTTCCCCTACGTTGCCGTTGTAGTAGAACAAGTGAAATATACCAAACCTGGATTCTTATGACCAGCTGCATGTAAACAATTCCACATACAGCAAAGGAAACAAAAAAAACGTCACCCTACCTCTGACGTGGGGTCCAATGCCTTTCTGCTCCACAATGAGGAAGCTCACGAGTGTTTTTACCTGCCCGCCTCTGCCCTCCCACACACTGCCGATGGGTTACTGCATTGTTGGAGCCGCACCCTGCCTCTATTCCACCGCTCTTCTCTTACGCTTGAAACTTCCTCTGATATAGTTTGATTGTGTTCAATTTACGACATGGGAAATCACTGAATAGGATTTACCGGGGAGAGATATATCTTAACCTATCCTAGCCTATGTGACTCTGTGTGTGTGTGTGTGTGTGTGTGTGTGTGTGTGTGTGTGTGTGTGTGTGTGTGTGTGTGTGTTATCTAGTTTGGAGTTCCAGGCTAATGTTATCATGCAGTGTATTTTGGTAAGGTGTTTATATGCCAGACCATAAAGGTATCAAATTTTTTTTGTGTGTGTGTGTGTGTGTGTGTGTTGTTTATTATTAGATTGCCGTTCTCAGTGTTTTGCATGTAATGATGAAACACACATCCAACGCAATACAATAATGCCCGGTTTTGACTGGCAGCATTGAAAAAAAGTACCTCAATTATCAATCTATTCATGATTATAGTTTGTAGAAGGGCGTTGCATCATACTGAAAGGTTTTGTTGACCTCATTTAGGCGAGGAAATGTTACAGAATTCCCCATGTGACAGATGGTTATCAGATTTTCAGAGGTGTGCGTATCAGATCCCGCACGTGGAGTTTTGTTTGAGCATGCAGGTGTGCCTAATCAAGTGGCCTGTGAGTGGACCGGTGCAAGGTAGGTCACAGGACGCCATTCGGGTGAGGAACGTCGGGTTATAACACTCACCTGTCGAGGGGGTTGGCTTGCGCTTTGCCGTTCTGAGGTCAGTCACAGACGAAATCCTCGATGCATCCCACGTTGGGGGTTACAAAAGGTGTTTCCATAAAATGCGGCATAGGAGGATGGGCTCGGATGCAGATTGCGCACTGTGCAAACTCCCCGAAGCCAATGTTGGAATTAGGCCACAAGCAGGAGTAGAAAACTGGTCTGACCAGCGGCTCCGTGCATTCATGCAAACGGCTGCTGAGGAGAAACGGGAGGGAAGGGGTGACTGAAACTGAATATTTCAGAGCTCCTCGTCGGTGAAACAAGCCAAAACCTGTTGCGTTTGATTTGCATTACACCCGTACAACCAATCGGAGCACTGTGTGTGGAATCTGCGAGAGCTTTGATATAGTGGCCGTTTTTGTTTGGGATCGCCAAGAGAGGGGCCAGAGGTCAGTCGTATTTAAAAGCTTGACAATTAACAGGACTAACGGGGCATTCAGTGTGCACACTAGGTGACGTGTACTAGAAAAGACAAAACTGGCATGCACTCCGTTGTCTGGATTTGAGTCGGGAAGGAGCACAAGGAGCTCTTTGACTCTTTGAGACACAAGGGGAAAAGACGGCTTTCAGATAATCTTCAACCGTGAAGGGAAAAAGAGCCAAGTGTTGAGGAATGTTCCGTGACAGCCAAAAGAAATACGACCAGCTCAAGAAGACGCGTCCAAATTAAAAGTAAAGCTCATGGATCAATAATGAGCTGACAAAGAGATGGATGTGATGTTTAAAATGCAAGTCAAGTTCGCATGCGCTTCGGAGGTACAATATTTTTCATATTTACTTCATCCCTCCACATTTCTTGTCTGATTCAAACCATTCCAACTTTCAAATAAAAAGCTTCTTTTTCATGGCATCTTGGAAACCATGATCACATTTCTCAAATTCTTCAATTTATTATATTTCTGGGTGTGTGCATATATCTCAAATCAATTTGCACTCACATTATGACAGATGAATCAATTTTTTTTAATCACCAATATCTAACATGTTGTATATGGAAGGTGGGGGCAAGCCACAGAATCTGGGAATGTCAAAACAAGAGTTTTGAACACTAAACCGTAGAACTATGAGACAGATGTGCTAACCACAACGCTAATCAACTGCTCCCTAATTATTCAGAAAAATATAAACAAATACAGAGTGAACGTGCATGTTTGTTCCAGAGTGTAGTGTGGTCGAGGAAAGGTGACAACTGACAGGTTAAATCTTGGTTTATCCCACACTGATAAGAATCGTCATCATATTTCCGGTATTTCTTAATCATCATTCTCAAAAGAATTTTAAAAACAACGCAACCATGCGCCAGTGAATGCGTCTTGTGTTGAAATACGATTAAAACAGTCTGGGTCAAGAATGTGCCCCGAAACGTCACTGACAGTTCAGCCAATATTTGCGGAACATGAAGCAATTTTGTTTCCATTTATTGCCGCAGCAGCCGGGGATCACTTTTGTCTTTACTAAGGTCAAGGGTCTGTGAAGGTGTAATAAAATTCAGTTTCGCTTTAAAAGCCCACAGGCGTATCACAAGGCGACAAACACGACATTTTTAGCTCACGTGTTACTAATTAACTAGCTTACGTCGTTTTGAAACAGAGGGCGCTAGCCCGATAAGAGAGCTTTCCCATCTTTTGTTTCCTCTAATTAACTTTGGGCAGCGTGACAATTTCGAAATCTATGTTTAGATAAACTCTTGTTTATCTTCATATAGTCATTCCTCGGATGAGTTAATCCCCTACTCCGCCGACGCAAGTCCCAGAAAGTGCAACTAAATACGGTAAGCGCAACAAAATACGGTACAGTCAACAGATGGCAGCAGATTCCCATTTGTAGTAGAACTGTATTCTTTTTAAAATTGATGTAATGTGCTGGGCTTCTTCTGGTCTTTGTCACACGTTCTGGCGGATTCTCAAGTAGACGTGAAATGTTCTTTTCAGAAAGACCAAAAAGTGAGGCATTACAGTCAATTTCAGTGAGTGATAAAAGCATGCCATCGTATCTTCGCGCTGGCCCGAGACAGAAAGCTGCCAACTATGCCTGTGGTCTCCCAGGTGCTTAAAAACCTATTTTGTTGCCTCTTATTTGTGGAACAGAAGCAAGAGTCCAAAATAAAACATCTAATTCGACATCTTTCTAATTCGTACTTTAGCTTAAGGTTTCTCTCTCTGGGCCTCAGGACAGGTGATTTAAAACGTCAGTCTTGTTAGCCAGCACATATTGGCAAATTTGACTATTGATGGCTTTTTTTATTTTGGAATCCATCACCCAGTTATTCTCTCCAACACACACCTGTTAGCTGTACATGTGCCAAAGATGTTAAGATATATTTTTTTGTAGGTCTTGTGGTGTATTGGTCCAAAGGAATGACACTTTTTTCATTGCCAATCTGGAGCATCTCGATACCAAGCACCGAATTTCAAGTGAGTTGAGTAGACAAAAGCAGTGCTTTGCCGCAAAAAGCAATTATAAGCCTTTATGCGAGCGATGATGGGGGGTTACTGGTCGCAAATGTGCAGTAGTATTCATGACCGGGCTCACTGTATAAATGATGACAGGTGAAGTACTTGTACAAATATTTTAATTGCAAAATGATGCCAGTTATTACATTGAATGAAGCACTGAAACAAACCACTGTTTGACATTGCAAAATACCACCAAAAATCCTTTCTAAATCCCAAAGAAAGAAAAAGACCATTTATTTAATGTGAAAAGGCAAAGGCGGAATATTAAAAAAAAAAAGCACAGGAGGCAGGGTATTTACACCATGATAAAGTGTCTAAGTCTACAAAACAAGCATTGTGGGTAGGCCTCATTTGGAAAAGTGGTTAAAAAAGAGCAAGCAAGATTGCGCACTTCTTGTTTTGATCAAAAACAAGGCACCAATGTTGGGGATGGTGAAACCGCACTGGCCATCCCATGTCGCGGAGGCCAGTTTACACAAGACAGACATTTTGTTTTGTGTGCTGTAGAAATAAAGCAGGAGGACAAGCGAAGAAACGCATCCAAGTGTGTGTGAATGGCGCTGTGGCGGGGGAGGATACATAAAAAGGCGAGCAAAAACTTGTTTGGGAGCGCCCTCTATTGGAAAACGATTGCAATAACAGCAGAGGCGCATTTAGTGATGGCCGGATGGCAAACTGTTCAGAGTTTTTGTTGAATATCACACTAGTAGCATGACTAGTAGAACCTAATGACGTTTTTGTCACTATTTTATGGCATTTCTCCACACTAGAAGGATATCAAATAAATGATTGAAACTGCTTTTCGTGTGTCTAAGCTTGTTGCCACTTTCATGACGTCATAGCCAAACGGCATGGATATTTCATTACTATTCCTGAAACCCAAATGCATAGACTTGTTTAACTGGGGGGGAAAAGCGTGCTACACAGGCAGCACGGGTGGTGGTGGTGGGGGGGGGGGGTCCTGCATTGTAATGGTGCCATGCAGACATTCAAAGTGCCTGCAGCTGGTTGTGCTTCAGTGTCATCCAATTGAATCAAAAGAGTCTCGGGCTTGATTGCCTGCAAACCTGAGAAAACTCTTCAGAAAAATACACACATACTTCTTTATTATATTTAAAAAGAGCTGCACACGGAGCCTTGGAAAAGTACTAGTGCTCGTAGCTCACATTGTTAAAGGTAGAGAAAAAAATTCAAGACAGGTACCCTTCATATAAATTAATAAACTTTATAAGATATTAAAAGCAACGTGTATTATGGCGAGCCTTCGGAGAAACATGCTTACATCACCGTGTGTTTCTCCAGAATTTATTTTTAAATAAATCCTGCCACACTTTGGCTTTGCAACCTTTACTTATTTATCTGTGACTTATTAAAACGTTTCTAAAACACTGCCGTCTGCTGATTGGCCTAATTTAACAAGTTGAACTTTGGTCAATCTTCTGCATCATTAGGTCCTTCAAATCAGCATTTTTTTTTTTTTTTTGCACCTAAAGCTTTAAAGTAATTCACCAGAATCATGCAATGCAGTATGTACAACACAGAAAGTATATGATGTCACCAGGTTTAGCCTGCTACTGTACGTATGGAGCCAATTTAAAAGAAGCATCAGCTGAGGAATGTATGGAATGTTTTTTTCCCCCCCGTCAATGTCTTTGTAGTTATTGCAATTATTGATCTTTACAGGAGATCTTTCCACACACTGCCCCCTCAAGAGTTCCTCTTTTACTTTGACTCCAGACTGAAAAAGTTGAGCAAATGTTATGATGTTATGGAAGCACAGCAATGGTGACTGGGAAAAACAAACGGTTAGCAGAACTATGCACAGTATTTACAGCAGGTTCAGAACACTGGACCTTCCTTGGGTGGGGGAGGTTGTATGCCCTAAAAAGGGGAGGACGTCACAGATAGAAAGTCTTACAAAAATTCAGATTTGACCTCAAAAATCACCCATTTTGCTGCTTGGGATTTTGTGATTGGAGTGACAGGTGTTCTCAAAAACCGAAGTGAAAACTATACGGGTTGTCTTGGTGAGAGGAATATTTTGGTGGTGAAAAAATTGATTTGAAAAAAATAAATTGAAAAGCAAAAAAAAGTGTGTGTGTGTGTGTGTGTTTTCTCAAGCAGCAAAGGAATTCTAGTTGCCACCTCAGTGGATCTGCCAGACCATAAGGTGGCACTCGAGAAGAGCTGGAAAGCTACGTGGGTTTGGGAGGGGGGGGGGACACACAAAAACCCTTTTCAGTGTCTACATGGACTCCCCGACAGAATCATCGTCATCCAGAGATAGGGGCAGGTAGAGGTCCTGTAAACACAACAAAACGTGTTCAAATGGGGCTTTTAAGGATTTTACAGAAAACAAAAACAAAGCGTGTGCGGTTGGTACCTTCTGCTGGGTGCCGAGTGCAGGACTGGTAGGGGTGGAGGTGGGGGAGTGCTTTGAGACCGGGGTGGAAATTTGGCTGCTGGAGCCGGTCCCGTTGGCTGAGAGGGCAAGAGGAAGAGGTTTAAAAAAAACAACAAAAAAAAAAACATTGCATTGATAAGAAGGTTAGGACGCCAAAATATGGACACCGTTGGTTGCTATTGTCCTCCTGTCATGAGCACGGCATATTTATTAAACCTGTTTTCATGCTGCGCCGCTCACATTTTGTTGAGTTTAAGAGCAAAAACAGTCGTTGCACAAGCATCAAAATCAGTTAATTTTACACAGCACCATAGATGGGTTTTCTTCCTAGCCCACAAACTTACCCTGTGATTTTCATTCCTCCAAAAGTTGTGTGTGTGTGTGTGTGTGTGTGCGCGTGGGGGGGAGTCATTTGTTTGGTTCCGATTGTGTGCACATCCTAGAGAAGCACCAGAGTTGTTCAAGTGCTTTAAAAGGAGCGTTTTGTCTATGACTACAAGAGATAAAAAGTTTGGGGCAAACTTCCAGCTAGGTGGCCAGTGAGTGTTTTAAACACAACTTTGACTAAAAGGTGCATTGTTTAAGCTGCGTGCCGACTTCATTTAAACCACTCAGCTAAGTGTGGCATCAAGAAGAAGGCCACCCAAAAGCCACAACACATCCCCAATCAAATCGCTTAAAATAAGACTGAGGAATCGTGCCTTCGTCCCCACTAATATGATGTGGTCTCCTCTTCCACCCCAGCAGGGGATTTTACATGTCACCTGCTGCATGGCTTGGTCACGCAACAAGATGCCTGATGTGAGGGGCGGTGACTGAATGCCGTTAAGCATTCCGAAATCCCCTAAGAGAGATGCAGCATTGTTCCATTGCCTCCCGGACATCATGAAATGTTTAAATACCAGAGAAACAAAGAGTGGGAGGCTGTTTATCTTTGGGATCACAGAATGTAATTGAGCATCGTTACGGTAGCTGATCCCATTTCTCTCAATGGGGCGAAGACTCTGAGATGTTTTAATCAGCTGCCTTGTTTTGATTCTTTTGAAGAAGAGGAAGCCGCTCTCTGTATTTGCTTATGGATCATAATGTGGATTAGACACGACATTACTATCATTACTCGTAATATTGGCAATTAAAAAAAAAGGGGCGGGGGTGTTGTAGAGAAGCACAGCTGATCTGATCTTCTGGATGTTCTCATGGAAGCCAGTTTGCCAAGTTGAAGAAAAGTGCTTACTTGATTCAGCAGGGGACTTGCAGCGTTTGACCGATCCGGGACTCTTGATCAAACTACGATGAGCTTTCTGATTCTTCATCACCCTGCACTCTGAAATAGAGGAGAGAAAAAAAAAGTTATTTTTTAAACAGCGTTTCACAACGGTTAGCAGAGTTGCTGTCTAAATTTTTTTTTTAATGAATGATGTAAAAGTTTCCTTGGGGGTTAAGCGACAAATTGTTACCATTTGTTTTTTAACAATTTTTTTTTTTTTAATGAATGATGTAAAATTTTCCTTGGGGGTTAAGCGACACATTGTTACCATTTGTGTTTGACTAACATGTTGCCAGGCAGAATTTCGATTGAACCATTATCTTGAATCCTAACCTCAAATGTTCAAATGCTTTGTGGCTAATACAGCAGAAAATACGACTGAATATTTTCAACTTTTCATCATCTAAAAGCGCAAAATGACCTTGGCGCCATGTGATGGGCGCAAAAAAAATAAAAACACAGCTTCTTGTGTATTTTTATTCACTGGAAAATGTGGCGAGTTGGATATTGCCCAAGGCCACATATCCATTTATGGTTGCCGGGTAACCTCTCGGTAAGGGCCGAAAACCATGAAGCTAAACCAGCGCTCGTCAATGATTGCTTTTTTTTTTGTTTGTTTGTTTTTTGGAGAAAATTGATAGAAACACGCAAATAGAAGCATGACAAAATTGTGTCTGAACATCACGGTGAGCAGCACGAGTGATAGATCCACGAAATAGACCCATGTGCTCCCTTTCCCCGCTCATAGAAGCGCACTGCACCACATCGTGAGGGCGGGAGACAAAAGAGGCGTTCGGCACACCTTCAAAAACTGATCATCCTCGCATGGCAGAATTCGTGACCCAACGCAACACATGAGCTTGTGTTTAGATTCGGAAGCGAAGTGGTTTAAAAGCAACTTAGAGGAAAGAACAAAGACTTGATGGGAGTACGGAGACGCGCAAAGAGGATTGCTTGAACGTTTCGCTGCGATATCAGTCGCGGCACATCGCCGGGCAGATTAATGGTTCTTTTTCTACCTTTTTCTTATTCCCGCTGCTGCCTGAAGATAAGAAAATCCCTTTCCCGTCTCCTCATTGGGCCCCCTCAACAATCATTGAGCGCCACATGCAATATTAAGCCGATTTAGCGACAATTGAGGCAGTAAAATAACAAAATAGCTCTCGGGAGATTGCTGTACAGCTCCACACTACTGCAACCACAATTAAAAATTTGCTTCATTAATATAGCACCTTTTTTTTAACCATTTGGGTATGCAATGTCATTAACGCATATTACCATTCTCATCCAGAGAGAAGTCATCCTGGGCGTAGCGGAATTTCTCCGGTCCACATGCAATGAAGACGTCATCGTCCCCAAAGAAGTCTTGAAGGCAAGTAACCTAGAAGGTGAAGAGAAAGAAAAATGTGAGCAGGAATAATGAACTGCGATAAAGAAGGAGTCTCAAAAAAAGTTAACAGCACTTTGAGGGACAATTATTATTATTCATGTCAGCCACTTATAACATGACGCCTTCTTTGGTGGGTACATTTTTATTTGTTGCTGTACTAAGATCATATTTGTGCTTTTTCCATGGTGAAAATTTAAGAATTGAATATTCTTAACTGGAATACATAGACACCAATTATCATTTGACATTAGCGCTAATGCTAATATGCTATAAACAAAGGCAAATCATATTACCCCTCGTCGTAGCAAACTGTTTTCAAACAAATGAAAACAGTTTTTCAAGCAGCCTTAAGGATTCTGATGTGAGCCAGTGTGTCGCTTTTGTGTTTTTTCTCGTCCTGTTAACCTGCTTTCAAGCCACAACAAGCGCCAATTCCAAAAGGCCCACAGACACAACAAGCCCTCAGACACTGTTGTGTAAAGTTACGGACGTCTTTGCTGTAACGTTTAATGATTTAACTTTCATCGCTGGGGGGAACTTTTGCGTCCGCGGCAGCTGTTGTGTCCTTAGTGGACCGATGTCTGCAGACACACCTTCTGCTTTGCTTTCCCTCCTGAAAGGCCTCATTATCACATTAGGCATGCTTGTTAAAGACATTCACGCTGAAATCGTTTTACTCCATATTTCTTGATTATCCATTTAATAGTTGAGTCCAGAAATAAACTGAGGGGGGGACAAAAAAAACAAAACACAGTCATAAAACTCCACCGTTGAGAGACGTATGAACTATAAGTCCAAGAAATGTAAGTCTCAATATAAGCGGACCATATTCTGGAGATGTGACGCGATGGATGCCACATTTGGCGATGCATCATGGCACATTTGCTGATACACATCTAAACTATGAGCTGCAGATAATTTGGGAAGGTCCCGCCCGCCCCAGCAGCTGTCCTGGCCAACAAGTTCCAAGTGTGGACTGGCGACTTCCTGGCATGGCATCCAACAGCTGTACCCGCCCTCTCAATGGCCCATAGTGCGCATAGTGCCCCCCCTGCCAACTAGATTAAAAGGCAGGGTGATCCACACTGATGCGCAGAAATGATGCTTTGACTCACGGGATTAAATGCTAATTAGCTAGCCAGGGCAATTTTGACAATGTGTATGTTTTTTTTGTTTTTTTTTTAACCATGAACATCAGCAAAGGGATTAGATACATGTTACTTTTCATTATTATGGGTGTGGCAAGAAGAGATGGTAGCTTCAGGGAGGCACCCTCCCCCCCCCAGGGCAGGAGAAACGGGCCGAAATGGGCCTGCAGGGGAGAGGCTCGAATGTTTTAATAGCTTTAAGGACAGAGCCGATTAAAGGGATAACGTGGTTATCGGAAAGACTGCCACTTTAAACTCTCAGCAGGAATACGCATACACTCAAAAGGCAGTCATGCACTCTGTGCAAGCCAGACTACCTGCTCGGGTTATGCTCACTTATGGCCACACAAGATCCGCCTTTCCAGCATCCAATAGAATCATCATACATCCCATCAACAATTGAGATTAAATATGTCACTATATGTTAACTCAAATTGTTCTATTTTCCTTTCCTGAAGGTCTGTCAAAACTGTACTCAAGAGTGTCTACACCGCCCCCCCCAAAAAATAAAATAAATAAAAATCACCCGCATAACACTGAATTCAAATTTCACATTATCTGTACAGTCTCTCTTTAAGAGTTCTAGTATTTAAAACAAAAAAAAAAGTATTTGAGACCAATCCACATTGGACCTACTGTATTATTCAGAGGCGTCTACAGTTGGTCGAAAAACAATCTCGCTTGCTCTCGAAATGTCAAAAGTTGCTTTGGGAATGACAAGGAAAGCATCGGCTTTCAACATGGGGAGGGGGAAAAAAAATAAAATATCAAATCCAACAGAGTATGGAAGTGAGTGACATGTGACAACCACAGCACTGCCAGCAGAGCTTGGGTGTTGAAGACCCATTTTAAGTATTGTGCTTATTTGGAAGAATTTGTGCGCGACTGGAAATCAGGGGCTTCTCCTTTCAGATCCCACTTAAACGCCCTCCCCCAAACTCTATCCACCCTCCACCCAGACCCATCCGCTCCCCCCAATCTCCGCTTGACCAGCTGTCAGGACAACATGACCTCCCGATGGGGTTGATGTGAGTGTATCTGTCACCAGGAAGACGACAAATTAGGTTTTGCTGATTTGAAGTTGTGAAGAAAAGTAGGTTCCCGGCATAGAACTCCAACAATCCCACCCACCCTTCGGGACTGAGCTATTTGAGAAACTAGTTCAATGAAAGTCATCCTAAGATGCCACTTGGCGAAATAACGACGCACAGCATTGGCCACAGCATCTACATTGCGTCCCGAGTTCACAAACTTCTGTGACCTACGCATGACCTTGGTGCACCAACAGCACGTTCCCATCAACGTTCATCTGAAGCACAGATGAGCAATTCCGCCGGAGATATATCTGCACAGTCATGGGGGCCAGCTGGTGTCTGATCTGTTTGCCCCCCCACACCCACCCCCCATACCCCGTCCTGGAGGAAGCCAGCATCATATTTGTCTGACTGATGTTAGCCAGAGCGTCATTAAAATAAGATTCTTCCTCCTACCCCGAGGTTATGTTTCCTAGTTGATGGTGTTAAAATGGCTGCGGCATATATGGGGACCACGCCCTAATATAAAGCTAAGCACGTGTGTATGTGTGTGTCAGCGGTTGAGGTTACATCTTCACGTGAAACAATCAGTGGACAGGTAACACCCAAACGTAAATCACAAAAGGCCCACTCAGCATATCGCAGCCTTTGTCAAAAACTGAACTCATCCCGGCAGAGCTTATCGCCATGACAACAGCTTCTGCAGTGAGGCCAAGAGCGAGCAGACTGCAAAAGCAGACCATTCTTCCCTCTCAGCAGATGCATTTGGTCGTTAAGACGCCACAAACACATGTCGGAATCCATCTCCCATGCTGCAAATCATTCCCTGTAATTAACTTTTTTTTTCCTTCGACTGCAAGACGGTCTGCCTTGTGGGACGCATCCTCAAGCCATTGTTGCGCCGATGGACAATTAAAAAAAATAATAATAAAGTTGAATTTAAAGCAGGGTCACGACAAGGGACACAAAGTGCCAAAGAGAAAAAGCACGGTGCACCTTAACGAAACCGATTTCCCAAATAGCATGTGGCATTTATTAAATGAAAGCCTTGCATTAATTCATTCAATACAAACCAGACACTGCAGATGTAATACAAAAAGATCCACAGATGATTAGATAAAGACTAATTTAATGCTAAATTTACTAGACGAGTAAGATGCGTTTCAAGGCAATGGGAACAATTAACCGCCCTGTCAGCGGAAAAAAAAAAAAAGGGAAAAAAAAGACCCCACACAATTGGCTCAAAAGATGGAAAATTACTGCTGAATGTGTTGGCCCCACCCTTTTGGACGCAAGTGAAAAGCAGCGGTGCGTCTTTAATGTGTGTACTAAATTTAGTAAAAAACCACCAGCAATCAATCACATATAACCTGCATCGATTGTCAACTTTCACACCCACGAGACTGCAGGATGTGGTATCCGGCAGACCGGTCCACACCAGCTGGGCTCTCTCTTTGTGCCTGGGATGTGGTTACCTAGCAACCAGACCTAGCAGCTATCGCTATGCAATGGTAGGAGGAGGAGGAGGAGCGGCGCAAAGTCAGGGAGGGGCAGGCACTGCATCAATAACACTTCTTACCAGATCACCTCAAACGCATCGGCGTTAGAAAGTCTACCACTGCCGTTTGCAAAGAGAAATTGTGCAGCCATTTTTTTTTCCCCTCAACATTTCTGTACTTTGAAATGAGCCTTCATTTCATCATCAGATAAACAACTCTTCCGAGTCGTGACGCCAATCCACAATTTGGATCCATGACATTTGGTGGCGAAACACATTCTTAACGCGTGAATGATACCAAGTGTGCGTGCACTCTCGAATTTTTTTTTTTTTTTGTATTTTGATGACAACTGCTATATCCAAATATTTGGCACACCAGTTCTGCAACACCTCGGGGCTAACCGACGGCACCCCGGCGAGAATGCATTCAAATCTAATTCCTCCATCTATCATAAGACAGCATCGCCCCTCCAGCAAGGTCTTACGATACAGAGAAAAAAAGCCCGCCTTCTTCCTGTATGCTAATTTCATGCCACAGAGCCTCCAAAGTGTCCGAGGTTGTACAGTTCAACTATAATCAATCTCCGGTCATCTAGCTTGATGACTGCACAAGTTTGACCAATTTGAATGGGTCTTTCTTCCGCAATGAGGAAAAAAAAAATTAAAATTGCAACCTATCAAAGGACTGTGTCTCACCTTAAATCAGGCTCACGGCAACGGACAAATCTGTAGACAAGCTTTGAGGCTCAGTTCATGACTTACGTCATCCCACTAAGATCAAAAGGTCGCAAGTGCTTATATTGAGTTGTGGACAAATGAATGCATCAGAAGCGCTTTCAAACCATCAAAGCGGACGAGTAAGGTTGAGTACAAAGTATGATTGCATGCCCTGAGCCAGCAGGTTTATGAGAACAGCTAAGCAATGTGCACAATGACCTTCATTGTCTTGTCCAGCTTTAGTTGGTGTTCACCTGCCTTGCGGTTCAGGTCATGAGCGTCCTTGGTTGTGTTTTTTTTTTTTTTTTTTTTTTTTTTAGGCCACAGAGCTTGAAAGTCCTGGGAAGTTCTGTCGTTCAACCGCCAAGTTCTACAAAAGGACCAAGCCCTGTATTGTACATGCGCTCAGGTAAGAATGCCGCCCCCGTTTTGTGGTTTTATTTGAGTTGAGGCATCAAGAGGGTTTTGATAGCGTTAGTTTTTTTTCATATTTAAGAGACTGAAAATGTACACCGCTGCCACAGAATGACAGGTCATTTCACATGCTCAGATAAGTTATTAGTCTTCTAGAAATTATGTAACCCACTAAATCCGTGAAGGGTTCGCAAATAAAAATGAGGGGAAATTTATTGCACAAAAGTAATAAAAGTCTGAATAAAATGCGGCAACGAATGCAGATTTGCCACGCTTGCAGCAGCTGCCTAGAAAAATATCATGAGGATAAAGTGGGCGGGGCAACGACATACCTGCTTGCCGTCTAGCGTATAGATCCTTTTGACCACCCCGCTTTCAAGCTTGATGGCCTCCGTGATGTCGGTGAGCACCTGCTCGAAAGAGTGCGCTGTCTTCTTGTTGAGCAGGACGCGCACGGCCTTGCGCGGTTTGACGCCGCTGCGCATCACCGTCACCAGCTTGGGTCGAACAAAGTCTTTGCTTTGCTCCCTGGGCTCGCTGGCAGCGCGGGCCGCCAACGACTGAATGTTCTTCTGGCTGGCCGAGGCTTTCACATTCACCGACCAGTTGGGGTTGACGTTCTTTGTGTAGTCGACCTTCTTGAAGGAGTTCTCTGAAGCGCAAACGTAGCTCTCCCCTGAGAAGGCAGCACAATACGGTTTGAGGTTAGCGTTTCACCATGTTGTGGAAATCAGAGAGTCCCGGTGGTGTCCTCATACCTCCCACGGAGAAATTTAAGCTTTAAATCCAATTTGAACTTTCCAAGGGAGTTGCTAACCTTGTTTTAGTCCAACAAGAGTACTTCTATTCAAGGATGAAGCAAGTCTGAAGACAATAATTCATGAAAAAGGGGAAGTCAACTCCCAAAATTAATTCATAAAATAAATAAATTCACATTGTGTTTTATGTGGCCCCACTAGTTTCACCACTGGATTCTGATCAATATTCTGTTGGTGGACTCTGGATTCCGCATCAAAATTCACTTGTTTTTATCCGTCGCGTGAGGGAGGCCATTTTATCACGTGCAGTCGACAATATTAAGTCAACGCAATAAAAACCCCAAAATGTTGAGATATGAAACTGCGCGAGGCTTTTTTAGTAGCGTACAACACCAAGTGTCTATTTCAATAAACTGGATACTTTTAGTTACACTAGCTAATCAAAAACAGAGCATGCTATTAAGGTTTAATGTAGCTGGATATCCTCCTAATCGAGTATATCCTCGATGTAAATCCCATTTTCAGGAAGTAGCCATAACTCTGGTCATGTAGTGTAGCTTATCAAAGGCATGGAGAGCAGGAGAAACAAAAGACTGCCGGTGAAGAGAGGGAGGGGCGGGGGAACATTTGGCAAAAACAAAAACCAAAAAAAAGCACAGAAGGCAACAATTAGGCCAAATATGGGAAAAAAAAACACCATTACACAGTGTCCAGGAAATTGAGCAATTAATTCTACCCCACAAGATGAACAATGAACAACTATCCACATTGCTTCCTGCCCCATTTCTTTTTACTCCACTTCCTAGGTACTATTCTCTGCGTGTCCAACCAATGTGAAATGAATATTGTCAAAGCAAATTCCAGACTTCCTTTTTGCCACATGTCTCTTCCAGCTAAAAAGGTGCACATTCAAAAATTGACAATGGCACCTCACCTCGACTTGTCTGTAAAGGTCAGAAAATAGTCATTCAAACAAGTCAATTGTTTACAGTGAGGTATAAAGAACAATCAGGGACAGCAGGACTGAATTACATCATTAAAAAGGGAACAAAGAATATACATGTGCAGCTTTTTAACCTCATAATTGCCGTCAGCAAACCGGAATTTAGGCAATCATCCTGCCAAGCTGAACCTTCTATTTGAATTTTTTTTTTTTTAGTCTCGGGCTACACGCACACTCCGAATCTGACGAGGCCGCTGATGTGCATCTTAGCGGCACCCTAAAATAAAACACTACAACAGCTTCACTTTGACTATGGCGCAAAACGCAGTCGATAGAATCCTCGCAAAGAACGATTTCTACCGCTTGTGGCTGCAAAGGTTAACCAGTTAAAATGTAATGAAAGGCTAAGGCTGTCCTTTAATGGAGCATTTGTCGCATACTGAAATGTTGAGTACTCAGGATCAGGCGAATCACTTTAATACTCAAACCACGGAACTGTGAGACAACAGATAAGTAGAAATGTGGCTCATGTAATTCAAAACGGAGGTGTACAGTCATAAGTATAAGTAATAAGTCAACCAATGTTAGGTGAACAGCTCTTCAGATTAAAAAGTTAGCTTCTTTAAGACTGAGCTGACAACATTTTTGAATCCTGAGACGCTTTAAATCTCACCGCAATTGTCCCTCAAAGAGAAGTCACAAAAAATTAATGAGCTCACCTTCCTCTAGTTCATCCAGTGCCGAGATCTTACTGGCGCCATCAATGGTGAAGATAAAGCGGACACCCTGAGGCAAGTTAATGTGGTCGGACAGCGAGCGCGTCAGGTCGGCCAGCAGCGCGTCGAAGGTGCGAAATCTGTCGGCTGCCACGGCGTACACGATGCCCTTGAAGTAGCGGTCGCCGTTGCGGTAGAAGCGGACCTTCTTGGCCTTCTTCTCGTTGCTCAGGGTTTGCAGGGTGCGCGTGCGGTAGAAGCTGCAGTGGGCGCTGTGCGTCGGGCTGGGGAGTCCGTTCAAGCGGCCGCCGCGCGGGGTCCGGGACGCCTTGTCTCGCTCGTCAAAGTGTGCGAAGTCGAGCTCCATGGTGAGCGAGAGTTGGTGTACTTTAGCGAGATGTGCGGTGGGAGGGGGGTGGACCAGCTCCACAGAGTCTACAAATCAGTTGCAATGAAGTCATGTTAAGCAGCTAGTCAAAATACCTCGTAAAGTGAATTCAGAGATTTGTGGATCAGTCATGTGAATTGCCGAAAACATTCAAAGGTTGACAACAAGGTAGTGTTAAATTGCAGAAGTTTAGCGGCAACTGTTTTACATTTCGGTTTTCCAATTTTTTTTGGGGGGGTGGGGGCTTCATTAAAACGTCTATATCCACATCAGTGGTTATCCGGCCCAATTGCAAATCGGTTATAATCCCTCACCTCAAGCATGTTAGCTCATGAGTACTATTTTTGTCTGCGTGAAACTCCAACTCACTTTGACATAGTTCTTTGACACCAGGATACAGCAGATGAACACTTTTCGTTTTGCCCCGACCACAAAATCTAATGGTTGAATTGGAATTGGTCTATGCCGAAACGAGGATACGACTAAATAGTGACCTCCGGTGGTACACCCGGCCACATGGGTGGCCATATACACCTGGAATTAGACTTTGTAGTCGTTGCACCTGCTTCTACCAGCAGCAAGCAATCACTGATCGAGATTACAGCTGGGTGGATTTGAACTGAATTCTGTCAATTATTGGATGATATGTGCCATCAGAAAGCTCTGCAAGTAGATATCCAAAAGAGACGCATGAATTTCAATGAGGCTGAATGCCTCCTGCCACTTGAGGAAATATGTAAATGATTGTCCATTAAACAATCACCAAGCTGTGCTTTGAGATGAAGAGTCCCAGTAGTGGAGGGCGGTCCATCTCTTTCAAACTTAAGAACAGTTGCATAGCTACACCTACACCTCACCTGCACCCCATTCCGGCCCTCATCCTCATCGTCAAGTACACCAGCTGGCATAAATTTAAGCAGAACACTCGAGTTTCCACACCAGAATAAGGACAATGGGATGGTTAAGTGAGAGTGAAAAAAAAAAAATAGGAGTTCTTCGCATTTGTAACAGCTTCCATGCTACAAGAAAGACTTTATTTGAGCTTTTGGAGTCCATCGCTGGTGAGGTTAAGGTTATATGCAAATTATTCTCCACCAAAGTCAGCCAACCAATGCTTTACATACCTGGTTTGGCCTTTCCTCAACAAATGCCACAACGGTGGAAGCATGAATTGTCCCAAATGTCCTACATGAATTAAATTTAGGTGCAACTAAGGGCTCGAGTCCAACTCCTGATTGATTCATTGTGTCCCAACACTTTTGCTTGCCAAAATGTCCCATTTAACCATTAATGATTCATGACTGAGGAACATACCAAAGAGATATGATGGCAAATAAAAGCCTTGCTTCCAAAGGCCAATCTATCAGGAGTATGGCAATTTCTGTTTTATAAATACAAACTAAATCTGTTAAGATACAAAAACCCTCAGCGTGCAATGCGAACCGCAGTAATCTCATCCGTGGCCTTTCAAATGCACAAGGAGCCCTCAGCTCAGTTTTATGACGGCTTTGGTGACAGGGGTGTGACCAGTGGTGCGCCTAAGATGACAAAGAGCAGGTTCCAAGGCCATCTGCTGCTCCAAAAATGACCCTTCCCCTTCAGAGCACCAAGTGGAAGGACAGTCCATTGTCTGCGTCCAAGCCGGTTCCTTCATTTTAGGGTGACATCACCTACAATACCGCATGCTACCGAGGATGGCCACGCAAGTCCTAAGAGTACATTTCTAGCAACGAAACATTGATTTTATCATTCCAATTCGCATTCTCACAAGACTATCATCACGGTATTCGGGTTAATTGATAAAAGAACGCCAGATTGGAGGGGCGGGGTAGGCATGCATTTTGCTTTTTTTTTTGGGCTGGTTACTGACCGGTGACTTCAAACTCAGAATGTGACACTGCCTCCGCAACACTAAATATCATCTAGATGAGCACACAAAAGGGTAACCACAAATTTCAATTAATTGACGCCGCATTTCCTGATAAAGAGGACTGGCACGTGGCATCGGCTGACGCCAGTTTTGCTTTCTTTTGTATGTCTTCATAAGCAACTCTCACATGCATAACTTGGAAAATAACTCAAATGCTATCTTGCAAAGTATATTTAAAAACCCCCAACTAAAATGAAGATTCTGCTTTCTGCATGAAAACGCAACCGCACCTCGGAGACGACTCACCTGCGTGGATGCTTGTAGCAGTGAACGGAGCGTGTGCTCAAGTGGGAGTGTGTCGGAGCGGGTGCGTGTGTAAGCGCGTGAGTCAATGCTGCAGGGGGAAAAAAAACTCCACGCCGCCTCTGCTCGCCTTTGTCTGCCAGCCGCTGCCTGCCTGCCTCAACCGGTGGAGCCGCTGGGTCCTAGCGCAGGCCCAGTGGACACGCCCACTTTGATCAGTATTATTGGTGCCAGAAAAAAGTGGGTCATTCGGTTCTGAGTCAGATGAGATCGAAGCTCTCTCTCTCTTTCTCTCTCTCTCTCTCTCTCTCTCTCTCTCTCTCTCTTTTGGAAACATGAAGATCACTTTTTAGGTGCCGCCAGGAACGGTGCTGCTGATTCAATTTTGAGTACAGTATGTGGTGGGAACATGTAAGCTCAAGGAGGCTGTGCTCCGTCAATCAATCAATTCCTCACTTCCATTGCACCTCTTGGACTTCAAAAAGCATCACAGCTTCACGAAATGGGAAATGAAAAATAACAAATCCACCCCCCAGCGGGTTGGCTTCCTGGGGAAGAGCCACGTTTTCAGTTTGATCTTAAAACATAAGGTGCATTAGTGTGGATTGTACATAAATGTACTCTCGGGAGCACTTGGGGGAATTAGGAGCTTTGCTCAAGGGCACATGAACTTCTAGTCCGGAATTAGCCATGACAGCCGGGGGAGTTGAAAGGTGTAAAGTACATTCTTAGCCCCTGATTTATGTCTGCCCGTGGTGGAAATATGAAGTCGGTTGTGTCTGATGCCTTAAAGAGAGTTTGACAGTGAATGGACATATGTAATGTATATGCTTGAATGCTGTATGGGATACACATTGAGTCCGTTATGGTAAAGGCTGAAGTAACCTTTCAACAAAAACACTTGTCAAATGGAGGCAAAGGTGAGCTGGAAGGCTACAGGGGAACCATATGATACTCCCAACAGGCCGACAACATCCGAGGACAAAGCCCAACTATCCAAACAATGTGAAGAAAAGGAACTCCCCTGTCGGAAACTTCAACGAAGACAAATGACGTCTTTTGTGACTCCATTTTGTGGGCCATAGTGCAAATGTCTAATGTTTCTTTAGAGCAAACTGTTCCTATTAACTTAGGGACCCTTGTTGTCTAAAAATGCCGCCTAACATGATGCTACAATGCTATTCCACTCCAACGCACCAATGAATGATATCACAGTTTTGGATGCAAAGTTCTTCATCGCTTAATCTGTCCAAGCATCACTTTTAAACTCAGCTGTTGCCAAATCGTGGCGCCTCGCCTTTGCATGTCAGGCATAGCTCTAATGCACTGTGATGGGCTGCCTCAGTGCTGCCCTGCCCCGCCCAACTGCCTGCAGTGTGAACAGAGGGGCCTGTAACACGCTGTCAATACAGGGCAAGATGGAGCGGCAGGGTGGGCGGCAGGGGGAGGCAGCAGATTTGGATTTTCCGCTCTCAGCTGGATGCCTTGTAGCCAAGAGGTTCCCGTGAACGCAAGTGTACACGAAGGATACAGCATCCAAATCTTCCATTTCCTGTTCCTACCATGAAATTAGCATTAAAATACTAAAGTGGAAATGGGAACACACTGCCTGACTTGCCTGGACCGGAAAAAAATATAGGAGCTGCTTTTCTGAAAAAGATAAAGAACCAAAGCCAAAACTGGATCATGGTGGTGGCAGCATCATTTTTTTTTTTTTTTTTTTGGTGCTGTTTTTCTTTCGTTGGACATGGGGCCTTAGATAAGGCGGAAGGAATTATAAACAGTTTTAAATAGCAGTCCGTTACCACAAAACCTTCAGAGCGCTTCTAAAAGCCTCCCAGAACACTGTCACACAATAACACTATAATGGATGGATGGATGGACTAGGGCTGCAGAACAATGTACACATTTTGTGAGTGCACTGTCCCTAATGAAATGTCTGCCTCTGATCAAATGGAGCAAAACAACAAGTCATAAAATTCAAATCACAGCCAGAGGTGAGGAACACGCGGTTGAGTTTGACGCTCATCTCCAAAAGTTGTAAAGTGATATTCAAAATGGAACCGTTCACAATCCCATTTGACTACCCGACTACCGTCAACAGAAAAACAAAACGGACACAGCATGCTCGGGTTTGTGTATCGCACATGACGACGATGAGGACTTGGTGACTTCAGCCCTGCTGGAGGCCGCGAGGAGCCTGAAGGAGGCCGACTGAAATGAGACGCATAAGTGGCTCACAGCTGGTGTCTGCAGAATGAGGTGGAGAAGGGCCTGCCGGCTAGGGGGGCCGGGTCTTCTGGAAGTGGCAGTGTTAGCGAGGTCGCAACCATGGCAATGGATGGAGGAGGAAGTAAACAGATGTCCACAAGCTGGCAAAACAAGTAGTGGGCGGTGAGAGGACACTGGGAGCCAGTTGGACATCCTGGGACACAAGTAGGCTCCTGTTTACACCTGCTACGTCTCTCATGTTCGACAGCGAGTGTAAAAGTGCATTTCGATAAAACTGAATGTCACAGAAAACTTTAATTCAGCAGTGGCTGCGCTAGAGTTTGTGTGACACGAGACCCCAAAATGAATATAAGAAATGTTGCTTGGACTTTTTTGGTCATGGCACCAAACCAATACGTCTCACTCCTAATTGCTGTCCTGTATTTGTTCCCCAGCCTTTCGTGAACGTCATGAAATGATGCGACAATGATGATAATGCGCTGGGAAAGCTTCCATCTCAGCAGTCCCAACACATTTCATCATCGTCTCCCTGAAAGCCCCACTTCAGCGTTTTTGCGGCGTCACCGCTGCAGTCTCCAGGAAACAAACCAAAGCAGCAGACTGCCAAATCGGCACGAAGGGCAGGAAAGACACAGAGTCGTCGTGGCGTCCGTCAACACTCGCCGTTGGCGTGACCTTGAGGTAGGCACTCGAAAGCCAGATGCTGTGAGGCTCGCTTACACGCAGGCGCCGGCTTCAAATACTCGCACGAAAACAGACAAACACACTTGTGACAAAGCTAATGTTTTCGCAGAGTGACATCCCGGTTGACTGAAAACTAAATGCGTCAGTTGAGTGCAAATGCGTCAGTCTGCCAAACTCTCCCAAATTGTCATTCTTATTTATCGACATTCTACTTGTGTTTCAATTTTGTTCATTGACATTCACAAGTCGCCGAGAAATTAAGGTTAATTTGATCAAAATGGGCGTAGCATTGTGGGCTAGCGATTAGCATGCCTGTGTCACAGTTCCGCGGTTCATGTTTTCTCTTTAAAGACATCGTGTTTAGAACACGACTGCTCAATACCAAAAAAAATGCATGTTGTATTTTCTAAATGTGGACCAGAATCTTAACATTGGTATAGATTGTCCACCAAAAAGAAACTAAAACCCCTTTTTAGCAAGAAACAGGAAGTAGACATAGTGATGGGCCGGATACACTGATGTGGTCCATATCGTTCAACGTTAACAAATGTGTGGATGGGAATTCCGCGATCCACACCAGTTTTTAATGACTTTTGTTATCGGTGAAGCAGTTTTTGCATAATCCTGCTCACGAAAAATAAATAAACGACAATAAATGACATCACGAAGAGCTGAAGTGGATTTCTAGTAAATGAAGAGATGAGCACGTTAGACCTGCGCCGTAAAGCCAGCAGTAAATACAGGCTCATCATTTACCACGCAAGCTTATTCACAGCCGGAAAAGCCTCGAGAGGATTATTGGGAGCCTGATCAGCGGGAGGAAAAGCAGGAAAAGATAGAAGGCAACAAAAGGATGAGATCATGTGATGAGTAGTTTATTAGGAAGCGTCCCGCGAACCATTGGCAGCGTCATCCACACTGCTGCTGAATCACTCGCGCGTCTCAACCTCTTTCTTTGTTTATACGTCTTCGCCATTGTTCTCCATCATTTCGAGAATGTCCATGAGTCACTCCTCCTGCATGTGGGAGGCTTTAGAATATGGCGGATGGATAAGCGCTAACAGGAGGATTGTACCATAGGTGGTTGTCTTGGTGGATAAGTTAGACTTAATCCTAGGATCACCCCCCCATAAAAAAAGAAAAAAAAATTAAATCAAGACCAGACTTTTTTTCTGTCTGCTCTTCAGTGCATGTGCCATCGCAAGTAGCTTTGTCTGCCTGGAGGATTTTCTAATGAGGGGCTTTTTGGAGGAGGATGACAGGTCGCTCGGATCGAGGAGGGGCGTTTAAAGGAAATGAGCAATGTGCTCGCCGTGGACGCGACTAATACTACACCCTCCGCTCAGCACCCCTCCTCGATATGCCCTGCTGGCATCTTGGCAGCCGCATTAGCAACAGAGTAGTCTGAAACTGTCATGATGCCTAAGTCATTGAAAACGTGTAATTTAGCCTCCAAAATGGGAAGGGTACAATGAAACCAAAGTAGGCCGCAAGAGTGAGCCCCTTTATACGAGAGATTCATCAGCCATTATATCAAGTACACATAGATGAGTGAATCTAATTTATGGCTTTTCCTAAAAATGCTGCTTTTACAAAGGTAACGAGAAATGCACATAGACAACCGTAACATGTCCATACGGTTATCTTAACATAGTTCTTTACTTAATATTTGTCAACTTTCATCGGCCCTTCAACAAAAAATGTCATAGATGACTTTTGATACTTACTGCAGAGGAGAACAATACTACACATTATTCACGACATCACAACAGTTTTGCAAATGGCCCGTTTGAGATAGGGTGTACATAGATTTGGGCAAAGAAAAACAAGTCACACACTTGTCTCTGATGTGCTCAACCTGTTTATCAGACATGACATATGCACAAACAAACGGCCCATTTATCTCTTGAGCAAAAACGTGTGAAGGAGAAAATCAGGAAGGATGATCTTAATCTTTCAGTTTATGTTCTAATGGAGATGAATCGACAATGATGATGGAAACAAATTATATGCAAAGGTTCCATCACACCTCGTTTTCATTATGTGTCTAATTGATGATGTTGTATTGTTCTGCTATATCGTTTTTTTCTGTATAATGAAAATGCACCGAGGTAGACAGAGAGAGAGAGAAAGAGAGAGAGCGAGACAGAGATAAATAGAGAGATAAATAAATAGAGAGAGAGAGAGAGAGAGAGAGAGAGAGAGAGAGCGCGACTGTTCTGATTTTTTATGCCATGTATGGCAACATAGTTATA